TATGTACAAGCTGTGTCTCTTTGAATTGGTAGCTAGAGATATTTCAGAGCCCTAGAATAGAGCTTATCTCCCATTCTTAACTCCAGTGTTTTTAGGTTATTGAGCACTACATAGTAAATATATAAATACAGATAAGCTATAATTTCAGGTGTCTAATCTGTCATATAACAAATGTAATATAATTATAATGGTTTCATTTTAATTAATTTTGAATGTATAGGATATTCACAAGTATGGTAGAAAGACTTTCCATTATCCTTCCTTTGCTTAGATTCCTTGGTTGTTATGCAACGTTTGAAAGCAAGTTGCTCCTGTGATGTCCCTTTCTCTTATCAACTGTAAAACAAAACACTGTACTTAATCGCAGGACAATAACGACACCAGGAAATTAAAGCAATAGAAATACTATTATCGAATCCGCCTTCTTTGTTAACGTTGTGCCAATTATTTCACACTAATCTCTGTTTTTACACAATGAGAATAACTTTCTCCTGGTCCAGGATCCAATGCACATGTGGCCTAGAGTACTTTAATGCCCTCAATCTGACATCGTTCCTCAGTCTTCCCTGTCTTTCAGATCTTTTTTTTTTTTTTAAAGGTAACTTTTTAAAAATATATTTTATTGATTTTTACAGGGAGGAAGGAAGAGAGACAGAGAGTTAGAAACATCAATGAGAGAGAAACATTCATCAGCTGCCTCCTGCACACCGCCTACTGGGGATGTGCTCACAACCAAGGTACATGCCCTTGACTGGAATCAAACTTGGGACCCCCCAGTTCTCAGGCGGATGCTCTATCCACTGAGCCAAACCGGTCAGGGCAGACCTTTGACTTTTTTTTAAAGAGACCAGGCCTATTATTGTGTTGCTGGTCCTTGATATGCCTCTTGTGATGTCCCCTCATGAGTGCACATGCATTCCGGCAGGAAGACCACAGAGTGAACACTGCATGCACCCTCCTCAAAGCATTACAGCACCAGCCATGGGACTCCCTTCACTGGTGAGGTCAATTCTGACCAGTGAAGGTGCATTCTTCCCTTTGAAGTTTCTGCATGCCCTTTAGAACAAACTAGTGACCCCAGGCATGGATTCGTGCACATTGAAAGGAAACTACAATAATTAGAAGGTGGCTGGCAGGGAGGGACTTGGCAAGATGGCCAGGCACGCCCCAGAGCCAACCTCCTGCAGGCCCTCCCCTGCCAGCTGCACCAGGGATGGTGCTGTGGCTCCAAGGGCATTTGTGGAGTGAGGGAGGGGGGTGTGCCTCCAGCAGGTGGGGGCCCTCGGGCTGGCCTGCATGTTTGGGGCCAAAACCGGCTGACATCCCCCGAGGGGCCCCAGAATGTGAGAGGGCACTCTGCAAAGTCACTGTTGTACAGGGTGAGGAACACAGACACAAGAATGCAGTAAACCAGATTCAGGGTTGACAGTGTCCCAGCTGCAACATAACCTACAGCTGAAGGAGAAATCATGCTGCCCAACAGAATTGGGCTCCCTCCTCTCTGGTTTCAGGGTGTCTCCCCTGAGAACTGCCACTGCCAAGTCACTGAAGCTCTGCAGCTCCATAACTACTGGTTGGACGAACACTTAGCATATTAGCTTTTTATATAGATAGATGATACTAGGAGCTCAGTGCACAAATTCCTACACTTTGAAAGGAAATGAGGGCTGTAAAGCTGCAGTGGGCACAGGGGAGGGTCTCGGCCCATCCTCTGTGTCCCCTCTCCCAGTTCCTCCTGCCTGTCTGCTGCTCCCATGTCTGCCACAGCCCCACTCCCACCACTGATGCTCCCACACGCTGACGGCACTGGCCCTGCTTGCACTTGCTGGCAGTGCTGAGTGATTGATGCTGGTGCCAGCAGCGGGTATGAGTGTCGGCTGCTGCCCTAGTTGCCTCTCAGGAACAGGGAGAGGTGGAGATGCCCTCAAGGGCAATTGGGGCCAACAACCATCACTGGAGTCCACTGATAGCGCCAAGCAATTGGGACTGTGGCCAGGCACTGGTACCAGCAGTGGGTATAAGTGCTGGGCGGGACCATGGTGCATGGGAACAGATAATTTTCAGTAACCACCAGAGGCTCGCCCCAATGACAGTGACCGGCACCCTGCCTTGGTCTGGCACCCCCGCTCACCTGCTCCACCATCCCACCATGGCCAACATCTGCCATGTTCTGTATGCGCCCCCTGGTTGTCAGTGCATGTCATAGCAACCAGTTGTTCAGTTGTTCTGCATCCATTCTATTTGTATATTAGCCTTTTATTATATAGGATACTATGGGAGATACTTTGAAACCATACAAATATCCTATTCCACATCATAATTCCATTCACTGGATCAGCATCCAGATTATTTTTACCTGAAACAGTTATTGCTAAAATGCGGTCAAATGGCCACTTCCCGATTTTATCATAAACCCGACATACACTAGTTGGCATTCTACCATAAAGTAAAGGTTTCTCTCCCAATGCATTTAATTATTTACTGAAGCATTTATTTAATTATGTATGTGTGGACTCACGGTTTTATTTCTTATTCGATGAGTTATAATCTATTATGACCATAATTTATATTGATAAGCAAACCTTTCCAGATTTGGCCCATGGAAGTCCTCTCCAGCTGTGCCCTTTGACGTACCACAGTTATTTTCTGAGAAGTCCTTTACCCTCTGGCACAAAAATGATGATCCAGGTTTATTTTATTTTATTTTATATATTATTTTCAAGCCGTGGTGCAGGAATGAAGTGTTTTTCTGGATCTATTTTATCTTTGTGGAAATGTATTTAGAAACTAAGCTCTGGGCACGAGGGATGGCCAACACAGCTAGGAAATCCCTGCTTCTAGGTCCTGGCAGCAGAAAGCATGCCGAGACATGCACATGCGTGTGCAGAGCCCTTTCTGCTCTCCCAGCTGCAAGGTGCTCCATTGCATGGACAGGCCAGAGTCCCTTCAACCCTCAGGTGGGCCTGCAGGCTCTTCTCAGGTCTTTGCCATGACAAGCCATGTTCGAACGAATAATCTCGTGCACATGCATTTTGAAGTGCATCTTAATGGTGAATGCCTAGATGTGAAAGTTACTGGTTAAACATGAAAATATATATGATTGTTTCTTATTGCCAGGAGGACTGCATCCATGCACAATCTCATGATCAACCATGAGAGTGTTTCTTCTCCAAAAGCCTGTGCAACAGGCTGTGTTCTCTCGGAAGTTGTTGGTCCTTCTCTCAGGTGAGGTGTGGTAGAGCAGGCAGCTTTATTTCCACTTCTCTCGTGGTAAGAGGGCACATGCGCACTTCACCATGCTGAAGAGCCATTTGTATATCCGTCATTGGGAACAGTCTGTGATGCTTTGGTCCATGGTCTACAGGAATTTTAGTTTTGGGTTTTTTTTTTTAATAACTTCACATTTAAAGAATACTTTTATATATGAGCAATACTGGCCTTTTTTTCTGTAATCTACATTGCAATTTTTCTTCCAGTTTTCCAGCTGTCTTTCCACTGTGTTTATAGATTTTTACCCAGGAAAAGGTTTCTTACATTTAAATTCATCAATCTTTCATTTTATTGTTTTCTCTGAATTTCAAGTCATAGTTAAACAATTTTTCTACTCTCAAGTTATAGAGAAATACATCCATGTTTTCCTATGGTTTTTGTGATATTCCTTCTAGTTTTGTGTGTTGTTTATATTACAATCTCATATTTTGATACATGTTAAACTTTTCAAGTAGACTTAAAAAACATTCATATTGTTCTGCTATATGCTTAAATCTAGAGTCTTCTATTACAATTTTTAAAGGTATTTATCACATATAGGTATACCATTAGCATTCATATCATTACCAAGAATTCAATATTTGGTTGCATTTTTTTTATGCAAAATGTACCCAGTGAAATACACAAAGCTTTCTCATACTCACTAGATCCTGACAAAGGTCTATGCCTGCTATCCCACAACTCTGTCAAAATAAAACAATAGCCTCATCCCACTCGCAGAATAAGCGATGGGTTTTTCGTGTTTTTCTTCCAAAACATGAATTAGTTTTGCCGTCAAAGCTGTTGCATGGATGGATAGTGCGTTTTCCTTCTGCCGAGTACAGCTCAGCTGTTTGCATATACCACTGTTTTGTTCATGGGATACTAAGGTTATGTGCAGTTTTGAAGTACCCTTTATAATAAAAAGGTAATATGCAAATTGACCCTAATGGCTGAATGACGCACTGTGATGTGCACTGACCACCAGGGGGCAGACACTCAACGCAGGAGTATGGTGGTCAGTGCACTCCCACCGGGGGAACTCTGCTCAGCCACAAGCCCAGCTGATGGCTGGGAGCGCAGTGGTGATGGCGGGAGCCTCTCCCTCCTCCTCAGCAGCACTAAGGATGTCCGACTGTGGCTTAGGCCTGCTCCCCTGGCTCCAGGACTAACAGAGGGCACAGGTCGAGCTGAGGGACTGCCCCCGCCCCCCAGGTGCACAAATTTTCATGCACCAGGCCTCTAGTTATAAATGAAGCACTATGACTATTCTTGTACAGATTGTTAGTGAACATATTCTCCACTTCTTTCAAATATGTACCTAGGAATGGCACTACAAGGTAATGGGCAAGTGACTGCTCAGCTTATGGGAAGTGTGCCCTAGTTCCTCAGTGATGGCACCGTTTTCCCTTTCCACCAACTATTTCTGAGAGTGCCCACTGCCCCATATTCCCGCCGACACCGATCTGTCAGTCTATTTTGTTTTCCTGTCATGCTGCTTGGTGTGTTATGGCATGTCATTGTGGGTTTTAACTTAGCATTCCATAATGATAAGTAGCTTCAGTGATTTCCAGCTGTAAATTGGTCATTTCTATATCTTCTACTTTAAAGTATCTGCTTTTCAAAAAATGAGTTATTGGAGATATGTGTATATCCCTGTATGAATCCTTTATCAGATAAATATCTTATGAATATTTTCTTTTAGGCCGATGCCTGTCAATGTGACATTTATTTTATTATTATTATTTTTGAACTGACTTTTCCTGAAATGTGGCAGAGGAATCAGAACAGTGACTATCAAGAAGAACTCTCACTAGGGGCTTATTTAAAAAAAATAATAATTTCTTTACCCTCACCCCATGTATCCCTCATAGCTGAAGCTGGGAAAAGAGCCACATGCTATGTATTTTTAAGAGTGTCTCATAATGAGAAGAATTCTTAAACTTTTTGATAATATAATTAATCACTTTCCCCTTGGCAGTTATTACTTTCAAGGACCTGGTAAACCTTTTCTCTTCCTTAAGATGCCAAGATATTCTCTTACCCAGAGATTTTTCTTTATGTTATCTATGGGGATTTAGCTTGTATCCTTCGGAATATGCTTCATCTCGGGTGAGTCAGTTCATAGGTGCCCAGTGAGCTCTTTTTCCCTGTGTGGATGGCCATTGCTGTGTCACTGCGGTAGCATCCTCCTCAGACAAATAAATGGCCCTTGTGCTTCGTGGTAAATCCAATGACTGTACTGAGTGGATCTATTTCTGAACTATCCATTGTTTTCTGTTAATCAATTTTTTTTATATTTATGTCAATGCCACATTGCTTTGATTATTCTAGACTTGTAGTTAGTCACAAAATCAAATAGCTGCATTCTTATTTCTGTTCTGATTCTTGTGATTGTTTTATATTCAGGTTTCTTGGCATTTCCATATACACTTTAGAAATCCTGACAATTTGTATATTTAGAGAATCTCTGAATTTTAGTTAAGATAGCAGTTGATATATATATATATATATATATATATATATATATATATATATATATGAAAAGAATTGAAATCTTAACAAAATCCTATTAAATAAAGAGGGAATGTGCTAATTGACCATCACATACTAAAACATAGCCAATAAGGAGGGAATATGCTAATTGACTGACACGCCCTCAAAGATGGCAGTGCCCATAGCTGTAAGATGGCGATGCCCAGTCCTCTCAGCCCCACTGGGGAGGCAGGCACATGGCATGGCCAGGCCTGCCATCAGGCGGGTATGGCCACTCTATGTGCCTGCCTCTGGAGTTCCCCAGTCCCCTCAGCCTCCCAGCTTCCCAAGGTCAGCCCAAGGCACAGGCAAGCCTCAGATGGTGGCTGCCCAGTTGCCCAGGGATGCCTAAGGCTCAGGTAACCAGGGCTGGCCGAGGCTTGTGCTGCCGGCAGTGGCAGCAGCATATGTGTGATAGGGACATTGCCTTCCCCTGATCGCTAGGTTGCCTCTCACCCCTGAGGGCTCCCAGACTGTGAGAGGGGGCAGGCCGGGTTGAGGGACCCCCACCCCATAGTGCATGAATTTCCATGCACCAGGCCTCTAGTTGAGTCATACTAGTATAGTCTGTGAATAATGTATATCTATCCATTTATTTAAACCTTCTTTCATTTTTCTCAAGAATATAGGAATGTTTTCCAGAATATATAAGGATATTATTGAAATATTTTATTATTACTTTATCATAAAAATGTTGTCTCTAGTTAGAAAAAAAGAAACTCGACATCAATTTACAATGTTATGGTATGAAGATGCTCTTACATTTAACAGCTCCCATTTTGATAAGAACTGTGCTTTGCTCATACTTGAATTCAGGCTTCAGGTCTTGGTAACTCTGTACAACTATTAGCCTCTTGTATGCCCCATACAATTGATCTGGATTCAAGGCCAATTGCCCAATTATTGTCACACCTGTTCGTGACCTTGTGGGAAGCAACCCGGAGCAAACCACCCTCTCTCTGTCTTTCTGATCCCATCTTCAACTTGAAAATGGTGAGAGGGTAAAGAGGTTGTCAAAACTTATAATAGAAGCAAAGTCTTGGAATAGTTACTTATTAGAGTGAAGCATCGCTAAATACCACCTGTTGTCATTGTTATTTTCTTTTCTTATTTTCCTTCTGCCTGTCAGGACCTTTGCTGCTTTTAAGGTTTGCAGTTCCCTTTGTCAATTACTCAGCTTCTTTCAGGGAAAATGTCTTTTTATCTTTCCTTTCACAGCCCCGACATTCCTTCCTGGGAAAAGCCTCCCAATCATTTTCTATAAAGGGGAGCTCTTGTTCTCCAACTCATTCACTGGCTTGTTACTTCCAAAGACATTTACATTTTTAACACACACACACACACACACACATACACACACACACACACACACACACATTTTCTTCTTACTTTGCACATTTGTTTTCAATGCTTAATGTAGACATTAGGGACAGTGCCCGCTGCTCTGTTCACCTGTATCTCTTCACAGTATGCTATGGTACCTGTGTTATGTACAATAGATATTCAGGTAAAACTTACGAGGTGAATTTTCAATGATAAATGGGATGATCTAATTTTAGAAAGTCTGAAAATGGTTTCTGAGTAGAATTTCCATTTTTCCGAGTTAAATGCTAAGAATCATATATGAGATCTTATTTGGAAATATCAACAAGGTTTTCTCTAAGAAACACATAAATGTGACTGTTTCTATTCTTCACAGTAACCTGTGACTGAGAGGTGACCCCAGAGAAGATGTCTAAGGTTTGTCACTTTGTCAGTGAAAGGGCCTTCCTCCAGAATTTACACCTGAAACAGTTCTTACAAAAGCATTTTTGTTTATTTCAAGTGTTGTTCACTCAACAAACACATGTCAACTTTGTTTTAGTGTGCTAAGCAGTCTTTTGAGAGCTCAGAAAACATAGCCGATTAGAAGAGAGCTCATGTTCAGTGTTAGAAGGAGACTGGCATTTTTTTAAAAGAACATTGAAGAGAATATGAGTCATTACTTGAAGGAAGTGACCTGTCATTTGAAATTCACTTCCCATTCCTTTAAAGAGTATGCTCTGGCCGGAGGATCACTCATAGTCTTCACATGGCCTACATCTTCACACCTCTGTCTTCTTGCTTTCCCTCCATCCCTAACAGATGTCCCTTCTTCCTACGTCTCTGCCACCATCCTGGGTGCAAAGACTGTTATTGTTCCTGGGCTTTCTGAATCACCCTCTCCCATCTGAGCGACAGATCAGTGAGCGCTGGACTTATCACTGACCACACTGCTTACGTATCTGAAACTCTTCAAAAGCCCATCCTCGTTCTGATGACGAAGACAAGATATCGACAGAGCCGATGTGGCCCTGTGCCCTGGGCCACAACCCTCACCGTGCGGCTGCACCTCAGTATCTCTCCTTGGTCCCTTTTCTGCTTGGACTGGCCCTTCACAGGACAATTTTGTATTTGTCTGTAGATAGAAAAATAACTTAGGCTGTCATCTAGCAAAAAATGATTTTTCTTCTTCATTTTCATAACAAGGACACACACAACATGCAATTTTACACAAAAACGTACTGACTTCTATCAGTTCAGGCCTTTAAACATGGTATTCTGATACAGTGTGTTTCACAAGAGACGCAGGGTGGGCAAAAGTAGGTTTGCAGCTGTGAGTACGTGGCTGAGTGTACACTTGTATTCTTATAAAATAATATTGTACTGTTTTCCATATGAATAACTGTAAACCTACTTTTGCCCCACCTGAATGTTGTATCATCCAGTACATTTTGACAGGAGAAGATTGTTCCTTCGAGGCTGTTGTTCCTGATGCGAGCTTGAAAACAGGAAGACTTGGCCAGAGACAGCTTCTTGCATTGAGTATTCTAAACCTGGTTTCTCTCTGGTCCTTAAAAGTCTCATTTTGGGATGTCATAACACAGTTTACAGTACTCTGGCCCCGGTTCTGCTCTTGTGTCTTCTGGCTGATGGGTTAGCAGAGCGGTGGTGGGAGCGTGTAGCGAAACCCGCCTTACTCCTCGCTATTACCGATAACAATAACTATGCACGGGTGTAATCTCGAACCCCATAATTACATTCCACTAGGCCTGAATTAAGCCTATTTTCAGCTCAATTTCCTCTTAGCAGAATCCTTTAAATGGCCTTTCTCACACTCTTAGGGGAAGGGAAGACAGAGTGGAAAGAAATAACACTCAAAGGAACTAATGGTCAAAATATCTTCCTCTAAAAAATAATTAAGCAAGTGGCCATGCGGACACAATGTTTCAAGGTGCACAAATTCCTGACTAGACCCACCAGTTATAACTCCACAGTGTTGGCTGCATTAATAAAGGGATGGGGGGAGGGGCTCCCCACTGGCTTGGGGCGGGGCTCACTTTAGAAGTGAAAGCTACTAAAATTTAGGAATCATCAGCTCTATGATAAATCTATCTCTTGTGCATTGTTTTGGATATATTTATTCCTTGCTACTTCATCTAAGCTAGGGGTGTCGAACTCAATCAGAGAAGGGGCCAAAATCTAAAATCCAGCCTAAATCGCAGGCCGAATGGTTTACTGAACAGTCATAAACTGTCATTGTGATGGAAATGCAGCGGAGTGCAGTGATGACAGTGCGGTGCGGGCCACATTGCAAGGCCTGGCGGGACGGATTTGGCCCGCGGGCCTTGTGTTTGACACATGTGATCTAAGCATTAAGAAGCTAGCCCAAGATTTTGTTCGGTAAATTTTACTTTTAGAATAAGTAGATTAGTACCTCAGTCCCCTTTTTCTGAAGACCCAAATGCAAGGTCAGGGAGGGAGGGAATTAGCACGTCCTGTTTATTCTATTCTTTTCCTTTTCTCTGTCTTCCTTTTACCAGGATGTAGAACACACACACACACACACACACACACACACACACACACACACATTTGTTTTTAAGGGTGTAGCTATCACCACAAGCTATAGCCCCATAGAGTCTTCTGCATTAGGGAAGTGTGTGGGGGAGGGTTCCCCACTTTTCAATCATGAGATACAAAGCAAGTGATGTTTTCAAGGCCAAGGCCTACAGAAAGCACGTGACAAATACAGGGAAGCAAACTCAGGCAGAGGGAGTGCTGTGTTAGGTGTGGCCTTTATGATGGCCTCCAGGAGGCATGATGCTCAGCTGTCATCTCCACGACCTTCGGTCCCTGCCCATTAAAGTTGCTGCATTTCTGTCAATGATAGTCACAGGATAACTATCAATGCAGGGCTCTCACCATCAGTCTCAAACTGGGTTTCCTTTTTCTCCTTTTCATATATATTTTTTTTCTCTAGGTTAGGACTTTTGCATCTATTTTCATGAGGGAGAACCTCTAAATTCCTTTTGTTATTTCTTTCCTGTGATTCTTATAAGG